TCTTTTTCTTGGTAGCTCTTTTATAATCACAAATTGAAAGTTCTATTGGATTGAGGCTTTCTATGTTTGGACGAGGATGACTGCCAGTGAGCTAGGGGAACCCACGGATTTACCGAGCCATTAATCATGTGTGCAGCTGTTTGCAAACTGGTTTTGAAGTGAAGGCTGCTAAAAATAGGACATGTGGTTTTTCTGTATATTAGAGAACGTAATGAGTGGATGATCCTCAACAGTGGTAGTTCTCATTCTTAAGAGAAGTACCTTAGTTGTGATTATGTTTGCTTCCTTTTTGGCTCAAGAATAAAAGTCTTAATCTTTTTTCACATTATGACCTCTTTGGCAATATGGTAGACCATGTAGATTTTGGAGTGTGTGTGTGTGTGCTCATGTGTGTGTAATGCTAGGCATTGAAACCAGGGCTACATGCTAGGCAAACACCCTACCATCGAGCTACATCCGCAGCCCTCTTTTTAGTTTTATTCTGAGACAGGGTCTCACTAAGTCACACAGGTGCAGTCCATAATCCACTCTAGGAAGAGTACATTCTAAGTATATGGTTTGCTCATTGAATCTTCTGACATAACAGTGGTAGAGGAAACTTCTTCCACCTGTTAAGAACTGCTATAAATGTCCTCTTAGGAGTGTCTCGTGGTCAGTCCTAAGTATAGGTTTTATTTGCTCCAGTGGTAACCAGGGTGTGACTCAGAGCAAGTGCCCACTCAGTGTTTGTTGAGAAAGATTTTTCGGAGAAATTAGAGGGAAAAGATAAAGTTCAAAGCCAAAATCTTAGATGTGGCAATTTACAGGCATCAAATATGAAGGTTATCATTGAGCTCTTGCTTAAGACTAATCTTTATGTTGTGAGATTCATCTTTATATTTAGAAGTCTCCAAGTCAGACATCCTTTTGATTTATTCTGTATAATGTGGTAACATATAAGGGCTAGTTACCTAAACTGTAGTATATTATTAGAAAGTTATGGTATATTTTCTTGAAATAACTCTATTCTTAGAACCACTTCCATTTTATTTATTTATTTTTTATTTTTTGAGACAGGGTCTTATTTTGTAGTGCAAGCTGGCCTTGAACTCACTATGTAGCCTAGGCTGGCTTTGAACTAGTGGTGATCCTCCTGCCTCAGCCTCCTGAGTGCTGGGATTATAGGCATGCTCCATCATGCCTGGAATGCCCCCACTTTAGATTACATAGATCTAGGTAACATTAGCCACCAAATTATTGTTAAATCTGGTACTATCTTTATTTAAGATATAAATTGGTAAACTTTTCTTTAGAACGAAAGAAAAAATTTTATTGTGATACAATATACTTAATATGAAATTTATCATCTTAACCGTTTTTTCACTAAAGACAAATTTGGTTTTTAATTTTTTTAGTACATGTTTGGAGTACATAATGATTATATTCATTGTGAGGAATTGGTACACATATACAATACACCTTAATTCTTTTTACATCCCTTCCCCCTCTGTCTTAGTTACTTTTTTTTGTCGCTGTGACAAAGTACCTGACACCCAAAATTATAGGAGGAAAGGTTTACTTAGCTTAT